TACCATTTAAATGGATACAGGATGAAGATATTGTAGCTGCTTTTAAGCTTGTTAATCCTACAATTAAATTACCATCACGTCGCAAATTAAGTGAATCTATTTTAAAAAAAGAAGTAAATATTACAAAAGATCAATTTGAACTTATGATAAAAAATGATAATTCTGGAGTTACTTTAATATTTGATGGATGGAAAATATAGTTAAGCAAAAAATCATGGGAACTGTACTTATTACCTCTAAAGATAAAGCAATCATATGGAATGCTAAAGATATTAGTTTAGAAAGAAGTTGCACTTTTAATATAAGTTTATTTGCTGAATGATATATTGAAGATTTGGCTATAAAGGATATTAATGTAATTGGTGTTGTTTCAGATTCTGCAGGAGAAAATGTTAAATCATGGCAGTATATATTTTTATTTAATTAAAAACTATTTTTAAATATAGCTAAATTTTTTTTATATTAGAAAAGAACTATGATTACAATATACAAATATTATATTTTTGCCTTGTTTTGCTTACCAGACAAATTTATGTGTGGGCGATATTTTTAAATCTTCAGAAAGATATAAAGAAATTTTAAATAAAGCTATAAAAATTATTAGCTATTTTAATACATCTACTTACTTTTTAGAGCAACTATGTAATCAACAAATGTATCTTTACAATGAAAAAGCTTTTGCTTTAACATCACCTTGTATTACAAGATGGAATAGTTTTTATAATAGCTTTCATAGTATTTTAAAATAAAAAGAAGCATTAATAGTAGTATTTAATTATTTATTAAATTTATTTATTATTTTTATTATTATAATTATAAAATAATTTAATACCAATTTTATATTATAGATACTTGTAACTAATATAGAAAATTTAGCTAATTCAGATGATAAAAAATTTCTATTTGATATAGCTGAAATTATTAATGACTCCACATTTTGGACTGATTTAAAAGAGTTAGATGAAATTCTTCTTCTATTTTGTACAACTCTTAATAAACTCCAATGTGAATCAGCACGCTTATATGATATTATACATGCATATGCATGGATAGATAAAACTGTTCAAAAAAGACCTGATTCACCATTTTGCTCACATATGCTATTATCAGTGTTGGGCGGACCAGACCAATTTGACCATTTGACCAGACCAATTTGACCAATTTGACCGGTCCGGTCAAGGGATCTGTACTGGTCA